TTAATTTTGGATATAAATTAAGTTATATTGGATATTAATTATGAGTATATTGAGTTAAAATTGAAGTATAATTACATTTTATTTTAGTTAAGTCCAATCAAATTAGTTATATTTATCGCTTAAATATACATGTATTTTGATAATATTTATTTATTTCTTATTTAAATTAAGTCAAATCAAATTTGTTTTATTTATCGCTTAAATATATAAGTATTTTCATAGTATTTATCAAATTATATGTTGATTTCTAAAAAATATTAGAAAATAAAGTGTAACTGATAAATTTTGGATGTTCATGAACATATATATTTTTATTATTTTGAAAATATACTATATGTCATTTAAAAATATATATTAATGGGGTATATTACTATTTTGTGAACTTTCCTTTTTAATAAAATCATATTATATACATATATTTTCGTTTTTAAATCTGTTTCAAAATTTTAGAAATATTTCCTTTTATTATATATGCTATTTGGAAAAAGTAAAAAAGAAACTAAATAAAAAATAATAATAATAAACTTAAAATTTAACAATTCATTAAGGGTATCTATGTAACTAACCATCGCGAGAGTTAACGTGAGCGCGACATATAGGAAACTGACTTCTCAAATAATATTATAGAGATATATATTTTACAATTTTCTAAAAAATATATTTAATAATGATTTTTCCCAAAAAGAATATGGTAGTTAGGAATAATCTATACTATTAAAGCAGAATCCCTATTAGGATTCTGCCCTTAGTTTTTGCACTTATTTACATTGAATTGCCATTACATTTAATTTTTATTCTTGATATTACTTATTTAAATTAAATTTAATTTTGTGTATGGAAATATTCTAAAAGAACAATAAATCCATCTAATGCACCAATCACCCCTACATTACGGGAGTATATCTTTTATTTTTACAGAAGTATATCTTAATAATGAAATATATTTGAACACTAAATATCTGCTTTTTTCAACAAACGAACTATTCATTCATTGTTTATAAAATATATGAAACCATGAACAACATCATATTATAGCTGCAGGCGTTTTCAAAAACACATATTAGAGAAATTGTTATTATTAGTCTTAATTACAAGCCTGTTTTATATAATATATAAAAAATCTTAATCCATCTTATTTTATACTTAGTTAATATATATTTATACCATATTTTAACAATTTTATACTACATTACACAATCTCATTATAAAAAGATGATAGATTATATTAAGTTATCAACAGCATAAAGTTTCAGATTATTCCTATTATCATTAACAACTATTCGAATGAAAAATATTAAAACAATATTAATCAAATCTTACTTACCAAAAATCCTGAATACCACAGTGTGATATTATTATATATCAAATATACTTACAAATATGATATTGATGGTCTGTCGACAAAATTGTAAAAATCACCCTCCAACCAATATTACTTTGACAATCGTAAGTCCAATGCATATAGAATGAAAGAACTTGTAACCAAAATATAGACCATGAACAAAATTTTGTATACGAAACACGATTCAAACAAGATGTCCAACTATTTGCTTTATACATATTAGTTGATATCTGTAGAACCCTTTATAGAATATAAATTATTAGAGAAGTAATTAATGATTGAGATGTAGTCTGGGTTGTTTTATGCATATATTGTTGTAACTAAATATGTATTAATGTATAAACACAATTAATTTTATTTTCTTTTAATACTATTTAAATAGAAGCAATTTTTATCTATTTGGAAGTACTCTAGGTTGTATCATTATATTTATTTAATTTTGTGTTATTTTACATACAATATACTTAATTATTATCAAGTACACACATAACCTTAACATATTGTTTTAAATATATTCAAAATAAGATATCAAAAAGATCTTCTTAACTACTCTTTTCAAATTGCATTTTAACAATATCTTATAATATCTTTTTATTTAAAATATAAATATTTATTGTTTTAATATTATTTTAATAATAAAATCGTAAATAATATTAAATTCAATTATAAATGAATATTAACTCATTTGATTTATAGAATAAGAAAAAAAACTTCTATAGTATTTATATATATAAATATTCATATTAAAAATTACTTTAAATAATATTTATAAAATAATTTAATATATATTTTTATAAATTATAAACTAAATGAATTACATTTACAGAATAAAATATTTATATAGCTTACAACATACTTAAAATTACTAAAACAAAATTCTAAAATAAGATATTTAAAATAAAAAATAATTTTATATTTTTATACATATAATATTAGGATATAATTTAATATAAAATACAATACAAAATTTAGCCGACATTAATATTATTTAATTATATGGTATACTCGACTAAATATTATGATTTACAATTATAGTTTGTTGCAGATTATTTCATAAAAATGTAAACAATAAAAATAGATTCATATTTTACCTTTAATTTTTAAATATAAATGAAATTAGTATGAGGTGGCTTATATAAATGAATTATCTTACTTTCAAAAATATATATTTATACAAATTTTAATTTAATTAATATACTTAGAAAAATGTTTCCTTATAAAAGTATATAAATATATATAATTTATATTTTGGGTAAATAAATTTTGAATAAAAATTTCTAGACCATCTAAATTAGGTTTTAAGTTAGACTTGAGCATTCATGTATCCGCTAGGATACGGGTTGGGTATTTTGAATTTTAGTTCTAATTTATATCAAATCTTAAGTCTCATTGTGATAAATTTGTAAATACGAATTGAGGTTTGGAAATANAATTGAATATTCAAATTATATATTTATGTTTCAAAATATATATTTTTGATTAATTTGAACATTCAAATCGGTTTTCAAAACTTTTCAAATATTTTTGGATTATCGGTTTAGATTGACTAATAATACTTCGGGTTTTGATATGTTTTATACCATTACCGCTATACAAGACTTTTTTACATTAAGACCGGGTATGAATATGGTTTTTGTAGTTTTGGTTGGGTTTGGACTTCGGGTTTATATTTTATACTCAAACATACTTCAAATAAAAAGATCCGACCATATAATGTTTTCACCAGAAATGTATCCCGCGCTTTCAAAGCGCGGGTCAAAATCTAGCAATCACTTAAAATTTAAATTTATAAAAAATGTTTGATGTAGAGTAGCAAAACAAAAATAAATAACAACGTGGTCAGTGAAGAGTTAATCCAAAATTTCTGACCAAATAATTATATTTTTCTTGAAGGGTGCAAATCAATGGTATAGTAAAAATATTTATTTGCGTTCTTGAGTATATGAAAAATATTATACTTGCTTACAAGTCTTAAAAAAAATTATATATAAGATTTTCAGATATTATAAGAATTATCCCAAAATGTAATGGGATTAATTGGTAGAATTTATCTAAATATTTATATTAGTTAACCATATGTAATATTAATACTATTAAATTACTAACATGTCCAATTAATATTAGTTACATCCAACTATTTATCTATTTTATTAATAATAACTAACTTCATGTGTTTAATTCAAATATTCTATACCCATTTTCTACTTTAGTTTTATAATGCAGGGACCCACTACTCCTTAAAACTTTCGACTAGAAACCTTTTTTTTTTATATGAAAAATATTGTGTACATGGAAAATTTTAAAAATATATGTTTTTTGAAAAATATACCTTGAAAACAAAAAAGATTTTTTTTGTTAAATAGAACTTTTTGAATCATGTTTGATTTTATTTATAAAAAAGTTCTCACCTTTGATAAGTATATGTTGTTTCACATATAGAAAAAACTTTTTTCTATATGTGAAACAACATATACTTATCAAAGGTGAGAATTTCTTTATAAATAAAATCAAACATGATTCAAAAACATCTATTTAACAAAAAAAATATGTTTTTTTTTCAACGTATAGTTCAAAAAATTAATTAAAAACCACCAAATTCGTAACAAACTATCATCCTTCAAAAATTCGGGATTCGTATAAATTTTATTTTCAGTTTTTAATTTAACATCTAAGAAAATTATCTATAAATATATTTTCAAAAGCTTATAATTTTTAATTTTGGCAAAAGTTATTACTAATAAGAAGAACAAATTAAAAATTACTTGGCGCACACACAACAAAATAAAATATAACTAGACATTGTAACTGGGTCAATAATTGGACCGGTCCAATCAGTTCAGCTGGGTTTTAAATTTTAATCTAATGTAAAATTAATTATATATATGTATAATTATAAAATTATTTTAACAAAATTTTAGTATCATTACTAGAATCTAACTAAAATTGGCACATAAATAAAATGAACACTTGAAAATATTATAAAAATATAATGAAGACTAATTTATTTAGAAAGTATTTAGAAATGTGATTTTTAATGAAATACTCTGAAATTGTAATTTTATTTTATTTTTTAACTTGAATTTGAAAAAACCAGGTTTTAATATTGAACCGAATCACCGTTTTTAACTGAGTTCGGTCGGTTTTTACTAAGAAATATAATATATTGTAAAATTTAGAAATAAAGTTTAAAAATAAATTCTTAAATACAAATGGCACAAATGTATAATTATGCAACTTGACATATTTAATATAGCTATCAAAATTTATATTAAATTAAATTATTATTAAATAAAAATATAATATCAAAAAAAACAACTATAAAATCTTAATTTCTTAAAAGAAAGTCAAAACAAAAAATATATATATACATTCTTTAAAAGGACAGGTGAGAATCTAGTTTAAATTTAAAAACTATCTCAGTGAACATGGTGCAGGAAAATATGTAGTGTAATATTATATGTAAGTAATGATGTTGGGATTGGGCTTCATTTTTCTTCATCATCCTTGTATGGGCTTTTCATTTCCATTAATAAATTGGCCTACAAAAAAAAAAGTATAACCGGTTGGTAATCTGTATTAAATAAATAGGGTTTGCCATTTTCTCGAGTACGAGGGTATACAAATCAAAAGGGTTTTCAGGTGTTTGTCTCTCTCAACAATGTCTCAGCTTTTAGTTCGAATGGCTAAGCTCTCATCATCATCATCATCACAGAGGCTCTGTTCCAGAGAATTGCGGCGGTTTTCCACGACCGCAACAACAACGCCGTATCTGCTTTTCAAGCAGAACAACTACAGGAGGGTGGGGAGTGAAACTGTAGTCGACTTGAACTTGTACGATCCGAGTAAAGACGAACGAGTGAAGATCCACGACTTGACTTTTCTGGAGGAGCTCACAGCTTCATCAATGAGGATAGGATCTTCGAGGGGATGGGTGTGTGTGAAGAACAGCGACGACTCCACAGTGCGTATCACCAATATCTTCAACCCTTGTGCACCATTTTCTTCACACAATGTTATCTCACTGCCTCCACTCGATGACACTAGAGTTCGAGTTGTTTCAAGTATGGCTCTCTCAGCCTCCCCAGAGCAGCAAGACTGTGTAGTGGCCTTCAAGTCTCGCAAACTTGTCAGTTTGTGTCGGCCAGGTGACTCTGTTTGGACACATATCGAGGTCCCTTTCGTGGCCTCATCAGAGATTATGTATTCCACCAAGGATTGTAAGTTCTATCTCAACAGAAGGGAGAGTGATGAGGAGGGTCCGATCGATCTCATCAACAATTCTTCTTCTAGCTTAGATAAGTTTCCTCAGGTGAGTCTGTACCAAAGATTCCCCAACTCTGACATACCCAAGAGTATAAAGGATCAGGTTACCTCTACTATCATGTCTCAGTATGTGGTCGAGTCACCTTCTTGCGACTCCTCCTTCATTGTTTATTGGTAATTCTCACCAAGTGACATGAAGAAAATACTCTGTCTCTCGGTCATTCATTAGTTTTTTTAATGTGTGCATTTATCTTCATTATTGCCCTCTTCTTGTCTTGAAGGTGTAACGAGTACTTGAACCAGAAGGAAAAATGGGAGTCTACACGCCAAAAGGGACCTCCTTATAAACCTTCCCACTTCAGGACAAACCCAAAGGGGTTTGTGGTGTTTAGGCAAGACGCTGAGCAGAGGATGGGTTCTTACACTGAAGACATTGGTGATCTCTGCATCTTCTTAAGCAGGGGTGTGGCGTTTTGTGTCTCTGCAACACAGTATCCAGGACTAAAACCTAATTCCATCTACTATGCAAGCTTTCAGACGGGGTTTGGTTTCTACGACCTCTCCTCCAACACTCTCCACGAGGTCATCGATGAGGACCCTTTGTCCAGCTTCTACCAGTGGCTTGCCCCCCTCTCCAATGAATGAATAATCAGCAGCTTTTATTATATTCTTTACTAGGATAAACCCGTCCTACGGACGGGCAAATATATAACAATAATAATATAAATTCTCTAAAATATTTCATTTATTTCAAGTAAAATAATATTAAACTTTATTTGTTATTAATTTTAGAGATTATATCATTATCTAATTATTATATATTTTTATATATTTTGTTACATATTTTTTATTTGGAAACAGTTGAATACATATATTGTATGAACTATTACTTTTACTACTGCTTATTTTTATTTTAATAATTCATTTATATTTAAAATATTTGATGTTAGGATATTCAATTTCCGTCTCATTGCAATTAACTAAATTTTGTAGTTTGACTGTGAGATAACTTTAATGAGGATATGTTATATCTTATTTTTGCTAGATAGATCTTTTGATATGCATGTTTCATTTTAGGTTATCTACTCTTATAATTTCTACTCTTATATTTTCATTGGCATGTTGTTCTTTATTGTGTCTCTTGTTAATACTGTGAAAATGTAAGTTTCGGATCATTGGACACGCAAGACGTTATCCTCCTCCCACTGTCCCAACCTGAAAATGTAAACCATGATACATAAATATATCAAATCAAATTGAAGAGCTTAAGATAGAGATTTATCATTTACCTCATTAGATGGCGTAGTGATAGAGATATATTTGTCTTTCCCGTTTATGGCTTTTATCCCTATGATGCACTGAGATAGTTCTCCACGTTTGAGTTGGGACTTGGCAAGTAGCTATGGATACATCAAAGACTATTTTACTGTCGTCAGTGTTAAATCCACCTAGAGAGCCTACAACAGCAGAATAGGTGAGGTTCTTGAGCCTATTTTACTGGCGTCAGTGTTCTACTAAGTTTTTAATTCATGTTGTTGTCGAAAAAAAAAAAATCCATTAAAAATTATCAAACTCATTAAACTGGGGAGAGGTTTAACTAACTTTAAAAATATCCAAATATTTATACAATATTTCAATAGTTAATATTTTAAATACCTTATTGGAGAGAGCAATTGTGTGTTTTTCTCTCGTTCAATAGCAATCTCTAGTCTCTTCTGCAAAATCGTTTGTGATTCTCTTTGGTTAACAACAAATTCATCGGTGCATCGACTCATGTCCCACGGCTGCAAATCCAAAAACATAGTCTCATTAGGAAAAAAAACAATTTCTATTCACTAACCAGAGATGTACGGCTACAAATGTCTTGCAGGTATGGTTTAGTGTCCCAAAAATCGTTAGATTCAGCAAACATTAAATTACGTCTTGATCTATTCACCATTGCACGTATTGATCTCGATCTCAGCACACGGTTCCGTCGACAAAACGGTGCGGGAGAAATGGCCTTCTCTGGGTTTATATCATTCTCAATCGCCACATTGGATACCTTGCTCTTCTTCTTGCTCCCTCCTCTCACGATCCTCACTTGATCTATTCCTTTTCTTTACTAATGAAGAGACACCGGTTGTTGTGTTCCAGCAACATATGGTCGGAAAAAACAATCATTCAACACAAAACCGGGTGAGATCTAACGGTGGCAAGTTGAACAGATGTACTATTTCGGAGTCTCCAAAGCAAACAGAATATTAGGTTCATAGATAAAGGACAAAATTCATCGAAGTTATTGGACTCTAAGAAATTAAAACGAAGTCCAGTTATAAGAAAAGCCCAAACGAATTGTACAGCAGATTTAATAAAACGCAGGGGATTGAATTTCATGACACGTGTCACGTCCAGAAGAAGCTATTTGATGACGTGTCCTCACCAGTAGGGACAAAACTCTACTTTATATATATAGATATTGACTTTTCAGAGACTACTTATAACTCATTTTGAAATCTTTTTATCATTTATATTATTAAAACTGAATTACTTTTTAATACTGTTTGGAAATAAAGATAGTACAATAAATGAAAATAGTTTAAAAAAATAGATAAGAGAATAAGTACTTTATTTTATTTGCACATTTAATCATTATATTTACAATAAATTAAATATATTTTTATATTTCTTTTTATTTATAGATTCTGCCATTCCATTTCAAATCAATTTAAATTAATTAACCACATTCTAGAATATATGGTATATATTATATAAATAATTTTTAATATAGTATTATCTTATTTAATTTAATCAAATATAAAATTTTGAGAATTCAATTTAAAAAAATAAAAGTATCATAAAATCAATGATAATTCATCAGAAACCAATGAAAAAAATAATTGTTAGTATGCTGTTTCAGTTTAAAATAAATTAAAAATAATATGTTAATAAATGAATAGTAAAATTACATCAAATTGCATCAAGTTATAAAATTTATAATATAATATTATGTTCAAATAAAAAGTATTATTAAAAATTTATATTATAAAATAATATATTTTACTCAATATATAAATTACTAAACATAAAAATATATATACTTTTCTTATAAAACAAACGATTTATGAGTTTACATTGAATACAAATTAAATCAAACACCCGTACGAGAGTGCGGGGTTAAATTCTAGTATACTACTAAAATAGAATCATAATTTTGACCTAACCTCAGTTCACCGTGTGATAGTTTCAAATTTGAACCTAAATAGTTAATGGAATTTTGTGGCTTGTATACTACTGAAAAAATTAGGAAATCTATATTATAATGATTCACTTTTGAAGCTCCTAAGGCTATCCACCTCAGCAAGTTTACGGGGCCCACATGTGTTATTAGGGAAAACAAAAATGTATAACATTTTGTAAGATTGAATGTTATCGATGAGTGATGAAATGGCCCAATGGTGTAAGTTGGTGACTAGAAGTTGGTAGCACGAGTGCGCGGATTCGAAACGCAGTGTTTGCATGTAATTTTTTTTTTTAATTTGGGCTTTTCGGGATACCTAAAAGCTTAGGGAGATTCAGAATGATTTTTTATGCTGGTTGTTGGAATACAAAATGCTTAAGGATTTGAAACTTTATGAGACCATCTTAGATACTTTTATAAGAAATGTTATCATGTTCTAACCTCCAATATCATTTCAATTCAGTTATAATAATCAATAAAATAAAAACATATTTTTTTTCAATAATAAATATTTACCCGAACCATTCAGATCAGCCATAAATCTCATATACATCACAATTAAAAAATATATATATATACAACATAATTTCAGAAAGAAAATTATACTAATAAACACATGTTCTTTTTTGTCTTGTCTCCATTATATTATTTTTTTACATGAAAGCACTAATAACAGTAATACTCGATAAAATCACTAATAAAGGGAATGCTCGATAAAATCACTACGAAGATAAAATATGAAAATATCAACCCATATGAATTTGATGTTTATTCTTTTATCAGACTAATCAAGTTGTGTGATTTCTAATGTTTCATTCATCACTATTATAGATAAGCCAGATAAACAAATGTTAAAAAAAAACAGCAAAGTCTCATACACAAAACTACACAACACATCAACAATGTATCCAACCCCCGCGCTTGCGCGGAGACTATGCATCTAGTTTTTCTAAAAGGAAACAACTAAACTCTCAGATGGTTCCCTTAGAACAAGATCAACATTTGTCACTTTAACTCTCATGAATGTACTAGGAGCGTTGGACAACCCGAAAGGCATGACGAGCCATTCAAAGAGCCCTTCTCGCGTTTTAAATGATGTCTTCCACTCATCTCCATGGTTGATTCGAATCTGATGATAGCCACTTCGCAAATCATGCTTAGAAAATATTGTTGCCGATCCAATCTGGTCAAGAAGATCATCGAGACGTGGGATAGGAAATCTATAACGCACTGTAATTTTGTTGATCGCGCGACTATCGACGCACATTCGCCATGACCCATCTTTCTTAGGAATAAGTAATGCTGGAATGGCGCAGGGACTGAGACTTTCACGCAAGAACCCTCGTGCAAGCAGGTCCTCTACCTGACGACGTAACTCTTCGTGTTCTGTAGGACTCATGCGATAATGAGAACGATTTGGCAGTGATGCATCAGGAACCAAGTCGATGCGATGTTGTATATCACGAAGAGGTGGTAAACCCGTAGAAAGTTCAACGGGAAAGACGTCGGAAAACTCTTCCAGAAGGCTTTGTAGTTGCGGGTGTGAAGTTGATGAATTGACAGAGACTGGCGAGAGGAGTAAGAACATCACGATACCGGTATCTCGCATTAATGACTCAAACAGAGCTCGTTGAAGGAGAAGGCCCGAGCTTGGTGTTGGTGTGCTAGTTGACGTGATTGTGGCGGGTGTCATTGGTTTGAGAGTGAAGGTGCGATCTTTGAACCTGAATGTATATGTGTTAAGGAACCCGTCATGCATCACACGTCGATCAAATTCCCAAGGACGGCCAAGGAGGACGTGACACGCATCCATTGGCACGAGGTCACAATAAATCTCATCTTTATATGCACCACCAACTGAAAAAGGAACCAGCGTGCGATGAGTGATTGTAAGCTCATTACCCTGATGTAACCATCCGAGCTTGTAGGGAGTAGGGTGAGGTTCTGTTAACAAGTTGAGCTTTGGGACGACAGACTCGGCAATGACGTTTTCGCTGCTTCCGGAATCGATGATGAAAGTACAAACTTTACCATTGATAGTGCAACGAGAAGAAAATAAATTCTTTCGTTGAGGAAATTCGTCTGTAGCACGTGGGGTTAAACAAGTTCGTTGAATCATAAGCATTGTACCCTCATCAGCCTCCAATTCTTCTGTTGTTTCGTCTGTTTCCTCATCATAAACCACTTCAACATCCTGCCCTGTGGAGTCAATGAGTAGTCCACGGCGATTTCAAGAAGAACAAGCGGATTGCCTGTGTCCAGCTTCACCACAAGCGAAACAGCGCAACCCACCCGGACGTTGCTGTCGAGATGGATCAACGGGAACGATGGCTGTCTCAGGTTTTGTCGTGGCGTTGTCGGAGACTGTTGGTGTTCTGGGTGTGGTGTTAGGTCGTGTCTGTCGATTTGTTCCCCATGGTAAGGAGTTGTTGCGTGATTGAGCTTCAACTGTT